ATATAAATGATTTACGATTTATAAACTTCAACGTTAATAATCAGTATACTTCTAAAGCTGATTTATAATATTAACATGAATGTCTTCTGACATACATTTGGATTTTATCACCTAGAATTCTAAAAGAATGCTCTGAAGAGTTGAGTTTTTTTATGTATCGGGAGCTACCTTTCGGATAATACAAGCGACTTTTATTTTCCGCATTCAAATGTTTGCTTATATTTATAATCACTATGTTTTTAATGAATGTTAAAAATAATCAATTTTTATCTTTAACTGAAAAATATACTTGAAAATGTACATACTAGAAGAACAATCTTACTAAGTGAGAAAAAGTTTTTAAGTAGACTTAGTAATTCATTTTATGAAATGCCTAAATTAATAACCATGAAAGAAAAAGAGATGTTTTTTGCATAATCAATTTTTCATTATGTATAGATTTATTTTATCTTATATTTATATATATATATACATAAACACACACATACATATACATATATTATAGACACACTGTGCTTGATAAATAAATCTTATGAGGAATATAAAATTTAGGATTGAAGGAAATACGTACTTTGACGCAAATGCGAAGAACGTAAATAATTTTTGCAGTGTTAATATGGTGGGATACAGATTTTAAGAGTTCCTATCAAGAACACACAGATTTGTAAAATTGCTAATTTAGAAAGGAAAATAACATTAAATAAGGAAAGCAGTTTTTCAAGACCAAAGTGAGAGCTCATGAACTTGAAGTTCTTAAAACTGTGAATCTACTCTATAGATGCATGAGTCTCTTTGTACACTTAATTCCTAATTTGGAGCTGTCTTAACAGAATCAAATACTTTGAGGATTTTTACAATAACTTAGGATGCTTTACTGCATCAAATCACTCAAGAATAACAAAACATTTGCCCCTAGTATGGGCTCCTACAATCTCCATGAAATGCCCATAGTGTTCATTAATTAAGATTGCACAGCCCTAACTCCCATTTAGGCAGAAAAGTTTTGTTTGTGTTCAATTTAATTAACTGCATAATTCCCCAGCTTTTGAAATCATAATAAATTTTATGACAATATCAAATGTTTTAATCCCTAAAACTTGTAATCGTTGCAAAGATTATATATAAATATTTAACCCTGAATATTTATTTCTAATGAAAAGAAGGTTTTTTGAATTATTCTTTTATAGTAAAACTAAAGTAAACAAGTTCAGGTTCGAATTAAAATAAATTAACATGGGGCAAATTTTATCATTTCTCAAGAAAGAAACATTGTAAAACTCTGCGCTTCTTACTAACAAATTTTTTAAGAAAAATTATCATAATATGTCAGTCACTATCCCAAGCAAAAATCATCACTTTAAAATAAATAATTGTATCATGTACCTACTTATTATGTAGTAATAAAAATCATTTTAATTAGCGTTTATTCATTTTTACCTTTTACTTACGGCAATAAATAGATTTGTTTAAGTTATACATTCTTTCTTAAAATTTGAACTGTACTTAACATATGTTTTGCGTAGAAAGTTTACGTTGCGATACTCGATTTGACGTGCGATTTGCAATGTAATACTGACATTCCAGCGTTCAGCAAAGATTTACTGATTTCACTTGAGTTTAATATTTATATCAACCATTTTCTATGAAATAAGCTATATTTTCAGCAATTGTGTTTTAAAGTAATGACTTGTTTCCTATATTGTCACAGAGTTTCCATTGAAAAACCGACAAGTCTATCGTGATTGGCTTGTTATTTTAACATCTTCAAGAATTTCGCTTTTGCCCGTTTTCTTCTCGTATTCCAATAAACTATTTTGATTGATTTATCTTGTGATCTTGTGTATATTTATCTTCTCATTCTCGTTCATCTAAATGTTTGCCAGACCTTGCATATGGGAAATGATGATCATTGAAAGAATGTCCTAAAAAGATCGTTGCACTTTCGGAGATTAAATACCAGATGGCAGATAAATATATGCATTTGTAGCATGTGCGTTGTAGGAAGAAATGATGATTAAAAGTATTTTTATTTTTTTATTTTGGAGGTTTATTTAGTTATGGTAACAAAAGTTAATGCTATCTGCCTATTAGAAAAAATACCTTCCTGAAAAACTCTCTAAAGCAGGGGTTCTCAACCGGTGGTACGCAAAGAAGCAAAGTATTTTTAACTTTTAAATTCAAAAAATTAAAACCCCAACATCTTGATTGAGTTTTTCTCTAACACTCGTAAATTTATGCGATCTGAGTTTTGCAACTCATACAAACACGTTTTGCAGCACATACAAACACGTTTCGTCGAACAAATAAATATATTGAGACTGAAAACGGCTTCCTTTGTAATTAATTTTTTATTCTATTACTAACGATGTCTCAATTTGTCCCTTTTCCGGACTAGTTTGCGTGTTTTAAAACATCAAAGTAAAACTTGAGAAGATCAAAGTTATAAAATTTTAAACAAGAAAAAAACTTGTGATCTTATAAAGAAAAAAAGTATCTAAAATATCTAAGAAAAATCCCATACAAACTGGCCTGGTTAGGAAAATGTACAAACGAATTATTCAGGGTTAATCCTCAATGTTTTTATATACGTCATTTCAAGGGGCAGGCGTTGATATATATAAGCTGTCAGAATAGCAGAAACCAATTTTTAACAGTAAACAAATGCCAATATATGATTTCCAACAAATTTGCGTAAAAATTTGCGTCAAATTTGCGTACTCGCATAAGTTTTCTCGATTCAAGTTGCTTGAACTGTAGCTTTCTTCTTTATAATCGGTAAGAAAGGTTAGCAAATATCATGTTTCAGTCACATTAATTACTCGATTTTGTAAGTTGAGGAGCTAGAAATAGCAGAAATTTCAGTCTTCAATTTTTCTACTCTGCATGAGTATGCGTTTTTATTTTCAACACACATGTCGTTATGATGACATTGTATCACGTAAAAAAACATTAAGCATCTTTATTGCGGATTTTAAAATTGCTGTTGTTCAAAAAAACTGCAGTACTTATTTATTATTCTCATTTTTAGAGAATTTGAAAAACCACGACAGTGATAATACACATGTTGATAAATATTTCGATATTGTCTACATAAATTTCATGCGCAGTTAAGTTTCCTGTAAGCAACGTAACTATGAAAAGCGAAATGATTTCAGAATGAAATTGCCATAACACGACCTCAAATTTTAGAAATGTCACCTTTACGAATTATAATAGGGATAATTTCGTGTGAATTTGTTTGAGAAGGTAGTTAAATATAATTATTTTAGCATTTTTCTTCATTATGGTAACTTATAGTTGGGAGAGCATTGAAATAAAACTGAAAAGTAATATGAAAACAAATATATATAATATGTATGATATTGTATAAATATGCATTAATTATATGTTAACCAAGTGAATTCTTCAAAAAATACATTCTGTTCCAATTTCAAATTTTCTAGTACTGCAAACTATTATTCGCTACTCTCTATATATTAAGCAGTCACATGATTATCACAAATATTTATGAGTTGTAAAAGATAACACACACATATATTACAAACATTAATATCTTCGGCTTAAAATAATTCTTTTGTACGCTTTTGTTTTAATTTTCCCAGTGATATTTCTGAGATTAATTCTATCTAAGGAAGAATTACATGCTTTCTGCTACTAGTAAATAATTTTATCGATAGGACTGCTTTAAAATAATTGAAATAATGCCATGTCATAGCAAAAATATTCTTTAGAATACTGCATTCGCGCGTCGTAATATTTACCTCATACAGTCCATTAGGTATAGTTCGACCTTCTCAAGCGCAAACCTGGTTGACATTCTGCCAAAACACATAGACTCGTCCAAAAGGGCGGTATTACTTGCTGCGACGTGAAAGGTCTTCTCTTCTCCGGAAAGAGCTATGCTGGAGAGAAAAAAAGTCCCCATCCTTCCACCCTGTTTTGAGAAGAGTTCGGTCCGAATGGCGCATGCGTGTTTGCGCTCATGGTCGCGGATGAGGCGGTCGAACTATAACAGAAATTTTTTCAATATGAAAAAAAAAAAAAAAAAAAAAAAAAAAAAAAAAAAAAAAAAGAATACTAAAAGTATCCTTGAAATAATATTTCATATTATGAATGGAAATAAAACTGGAAAACATTTTAGATTAAATTGCGAAACTTTTGATAAGAATTTTTTTTCCGAATACTAAGGCTTGAACTTGGTCATGTTGTATAGATTTGAAAACCCTAAACAACGTAATGTCTTTAACTAATTGTACATTTTTTCTTAGCTTATAAAATCTGAGGAGTATAGATGCAATAAAATCCTTTGCTTATTATAAACTAATGTACTAGCAAAAGACCTTCGGTAAGCTCATTATTTCACTTTTGGACATGGTTAAAGCTTAAACAGGGAATTTAATGATGGAATTTTATTAAAAAAAATTCCTTTTTGAAAAACAGGAATTGTAAGGAACTTGTTGGAGCTCTTAATGTCATTCAGTTTACCGAAACGATTGATGAATCTTTTATAGAAAAGGAATATTTTTCTTGCTAATGACATCAGATATACAAAAACATAGCCGAAATCTCAATAGATTGCATAAATCTCAAAAAGAAAAAAATTTACAGCTTGTAGTATAAATATTATAATTCAGGAGACCGACTGGTTTTAATTGAATCTATGAATTAAACATAACGTCAAACAAAGTTGAAAATTTTAAATTTTAAAATATTAATTTACAGTAAACCTTTCACTAAATGTAAAATTTTTTATAGGCTATACACATTATTAAGAATTTACTGAAAAAAAGTTTAATTCTTTAAATTTAAAAATGAATGAAATACAATAGTAAATATAATATCATATAATGCATTATCAATATAAAATCCTTCATGTTTAATTTCTGAAAATTGATAAATTAAACGAATTTGATCAGAATCAACAAACATTTAAATCTTGGAATTTTACTGAGAAAGAAATTAATGTAAATACTCTATACTGGCTAATTTTATTAAAAAAATTTCGAATTGTTTCCTATTTTTTAATTTTAATGCACCTTTCACTTGCTTGATCCCTACTTTCATAAAACTAAACTTGTGTATACATTAAAATTATAAATTCATTAATTTTTTAGTACAATGATTTTTTGTAAAAGGAGGTGTGTGCTATTTTTGAGGTGTGTGAGTGTTTTATATAGACTTTGGAGTTTTATCATGAATGGGTACTACCCGGAGCAGCCATGACTGTAAGATGAATGCGAATGGTATGATTGTGACTCTAATTCCTCACAATATCCAAGAGCAATTGTTTCTTCTGTATCGACGACTTTCCTTCTATTTAAGGGACGTCGCAAGGGGGTTGCATGCATCAATTCCAGGCATTGGTCTTCGGCTGGGTACAACTTATATATTTTCCCATCCGTTAGTGCTGGCACGTAGCCGTTGGCGTGATGTCTGTCAATCTGAGTGAACCTAGTTACACCAGATGCCTGTCTGCTGACAGCCGTGTTATTTGCGGAGCATCGGAATAGTTTTCTGATGTAAGTCGCAAAGTTGAAAGTGTAACTTCCATACACGAGGGGATTGACGCAGGAGTTTGATACTGCGAACATGAAGAGAGAAGATTGTATTCTTGAATCTAGCGCCTCAGCTGATAAAGGATCAAAGAGGTACCAGAGGTCGATGACGACGTAAGGAGTCCAGCAGCAGAAGAAAGTGAAGACGATGATAATTGTCATCTTCAGAGTCCGAGCTCTGGCTCTCTGTATGTGAGACATGTCAGACATCCTAAGCCTCAGTCTTCCGGATATTTGTGATCGGCCATCGTTGGGAGTACCTGAAAATTGAAAGAAAAATTTATTTTATTTCAAATTCATTTTTAAATGAAAACCAGAGATTAAAACATTTTGTTTGCGTTTAGACATAACAAGTAAGAATAAATAAAAAGAGTGTTTCACTAATACCAGAAACTGAGATACCTACGACTATTTCTTGCATCTGTGTCTAATTATCATTAGGTAAAGATGAGTAAAATAAAGAAAATTTTAGGTATAATTTAGACAGCTCAGTAATGAATTGTAGAACCAAATGGTTGTTTTATTCATTAAAAAGAGTTTCATTTTTGCTCACAAGTAATCTTGAGAGAGTTATGAAAATAAATGATTACAATGCTTTTCCTGTAATTATAATATTACTGTATTTATAATGACTTTATATAAATGATTTTAATGGTTCAGAAAATTTCCTGACTACCTAGTAAGTTACCTATATTATTATTTAGAACGTATATGATGAAATTTGTTCAGCTGATAATATTTATTGATATGTTATTTATAGATATTTTGAAACAAATAAAAATGTCAGACATCTGCTTTTATTTATAGCAAATTTTACTCAAAAATGCCAATATTCAGTATGAAACTCCATCATACTGGTCCTCCTTTTATTCAATTTATATTCTATCTGTAGCAAACCAAAAACATTATTTCGTATTTCACTTGAAACCCAATTGCTGTTCAAATTCTTCATTAAAAAAATGGATTATTTTGTGATGACTTTCATGAAAATGGATCAGCCTTTACTGGATTAATGTCTCATTTTTCATTTATGAACTCGACCATCTTCAAAAAAGTAAATGTCGAAAAAAAAAAAAAAAAAAAAAAAAGTTTGAAATACACTCTTAAAAAAAAAAAAAAATCGAAGCACCAAGAAGGACTTTTGCGATCGTGACGAAATTTGATATGCAAAAACATCTTGATCGAACATGCAAATGATCAAAGTTTCAAGGCAAATAAATAGGAATTGCGACCATAGCACGCATTTCTAGAGCGCAAATCACAAAGGATAAAACCAGTAACAGAGGCGGAAATTTTTCTTTTTTTTTGTTGCTACTATCGTAATTCCGTAAAGAAGCAACTAAAGATGCCATTACGACGATATTGAAGACCTTACAGATAACTAAACGACTTCGAACTGTCATGGAAAATTATGTATTTTTTGTTGTGTATAATTATTGCGTATTATTTTACTGTGTTTAATGAATTTGTATTGTTCTAATTTTAAAATTAATGTATAATATTTAATATTGTTAAACTTTACGGCAAAGCTCTTTTAAGTTTGGCAGAATATGTGTTACAGTTAAAAGGGCGCGGGTGTATTTCCGTTTCTCACGAATTGGCTTCTTTTGGAGGTTAGGGGTCAGACTGCCCAGCTGGATTTTTCTCTTTTCGCGGGGGGTTGAAAACACGTGTTTTGCTCGTTCAGAGGCAAATAGTTCTAATGGGCGGCGATTTTTTCGACAGAGTTATAGGTTGGAAACATTCTTCTGTTGCGTGGGAAAGAGAGGGTCTGTCATCTTGTAGAAAGTTCTGAATTTCTGAGAATTTTAGAGGCTATTTATTACCTTTTTTCTAGTTGGTTAGAGGGAGTCCGAGTTTCTTTAAGATTGGTTAAATTTTTAATTTTAGTGTTGTTTGAGCCAATAGTGATTTTGAGGCGTTTCTTGGTGAGGTAAACCGAGTTTTCTTAAGCCGTTGCAAGGGAGAAGAAGAGAGATTTTGCGAGGTTTTGTGAGATTTGGTTCAGTTTGATCGACTTTGAGAGGAGCGTTACCCGTCGACCCCTAGGGGTGACCGCGGTTACGGTTAAAATTTGATGATCTCCGAGGCACTGGTTGCGGCGACCGGTCCGAGCTCGTCGCGGGCTCCTTGCGGTTAAATTTCTGCTTAATTGTCAAAAGACCTGGAGCTAGGTCCAGCGTCTGAATCATGTCTCTGACGCTTTCCATGTGTGGAAGAGCTTTCTGAATTGCACGCGCTGAAGTTCCAGTTTGCTTTGAAAAAATATGGAAAAAGAGAGAAGTCGTCATCTCCTGCTGTCAATCTCCTTCCGTTGTCTTCAGAGGGTCGAAAAAAAAGGGAATGCTGATTATTATTATTTTTTTGAGTTAAATGCTGCTGGACCGAGTAGCGCGGGTGCTATTAGAGGATTCCCGTTATGCTATGAACTCACTTCGGTATCGGTTTTCCGGACAAAGATGCTTGGCTGTTATGTTTTCGACGTTTAGGACTGGATCCGGGCAGCTCCCTGTAGTGAGTGACTTTATACTTTCATTGGTGCTTTTCTTTTGTTAATTAATCTTTATAAATTTGGAAATGTTTAATACTAAAGCAAGAGCTATCATGTTTAAGTAGATGAAAACTGAATATTTATTGTTACTAAATTTCTGGCTGAGAAGGTAATTTTTTTATGAATGTTTATTAGTCAGAAGTTAATTGAACTAATTGGAGGAAGTGAATCTTTTTTTTTTTAATCTTTGAGTGCTATGTTCATGTAATTTCATTTGACCGAGGATGAACATACTGATGTGTTACAGTTGAAGAAATATGATTTATTCTAAATTAGCTTTTATAAATGAGTTTAAAATTCTTGAGTTTCTGTTTAAAATGATTAACAACTGTGACGTGTTTCACTATGATTTTTGTATTAATGCAATAATGTTAGTCTGGCCAGCTATCTTGAATTATAAGATTTGAATTATTTAATAAATGTGTTTATTATTTTTTATTATTGTATGTTTCTTTTGTGTATTAACTTGGGGTCTACTGTAGGTCACCCATGTGATCCTTACGGAACATGGTTATTATTTTGAACCTGGGTAATTATATTGCGGTAGTAGAAAGAAAAATCTGTTTTTAGAGTTGGTGTCTATAAGATCGGTTTACTGAATTTATTTTAATTTTGATGAACAGACTTCTTAAATGAAAGATGTATCTTTCCCTGGTATTTTGAAGAGATCTATGTGGTATTTTAAAAGTTAAGGGTTTAAGGATATCTCTAGATTTTGTGTTGAAATTTATGTGTTTTCAGGTTAGAGATCTGATTTAGTTTTAATCTTAAGTGAGAGATAGCATGTTTATGGTTGTGTTGCGGAAATGCCATTTTCGCCTTTAGGTTTTGACAAATAATCGTGATTCTACCAAAACACCAGGGAGGATATCTTTCTTTGATTTCTCTTAGATTTAAAAGTTTTTGATTATGTAAGTACTGAGTTTAGTTTTAGTTTTTTTTTGTCGCGGCACCAAAAGAAGAAGTCAGTTTTTAAAAGTTCAATTTGCATTGCTTTTTCTACGTAACAGAACGTGGTCACATTGTAGGGTTGCGTGAAGCTGGGTGGTCATACCGAGCAACAAGCCGCCACCTGCAGCATACAGACATTGCTGTGCAAAAATGTTGGCAGCAATGGTTGATACAAGAAAATTACCAACGAAATGAAGGCTCTGGAAGGCCAAGGAGCACAAATGCGAAGCAAGATAGGATCACTATACGCCAGGCCGTTGCCTGGCCGTTGGGGCGGTTCGGGCCTGGCTAACCGCCCCAACGGTATCATTGTCAACTATTCAACGCACTACACCACGTCTATACCTCCCGTGGTACCATCCACCATCTCAGAGCGCTTGTGGCAGACGGGGTTACGCTCACAGAGGCCTTTAAGACGTTTGTCTTTGACCCCCACAACATCGGCGGAGTCGTCTGGAGTGGTGTTCCAACCGATCATCATGACTGCCATCAGACTGGCATCGTATAGTGTCCAGCGATGAATCCCGCTTCACTCCTGAAGCAGATGACTACCATGTTCGTGCCTGGAGAGGAAGGGGCCAGCGGTCCCAATCAGCCTTTATTTTACAAAAGCATACAACCATAACGCCTGTTGTGATGGTGTGAGGCGCTATTTCTTATGACAGCAGGTCATCTTAAGTCATCCTCAGTACATCTTTAACAGCTCAACGATATGTTGATACCATCCTGCGGCCGGTTGCATTACCCTTCATTGCACGTCATCCTGGGGCTATTATCCAACAAGATAATGCCAGGCTACATACTGCTCGCATATCTCTGGACTGTCTCCGTGCGGTTGATACTCTTCCTTGGCAGGCAAGTTCACCAGACCTTTCACCAATCGACATGTCTCGGACATGGTAGGCCGCCAGATTCGAGCACCACAAAATATCGCAGATTTAGAGCGACAACTGATGAATGCCTGGCAGAATGACATTAGGAACCTCTACCACTCCTTGCCTCGACGAATTCAAGCATGCATTGCCACCAGTGGCTGTTCGACCAACTACTAATTTGAACACTCAATGGGTACTATGACCTTGATTTTTTAATCATTTTATTATTTATGTATGTGCTATAATACGGAAACGACGTATTAGCTATGCTTAAAATGGCAAAGCTAATTGATCACTAATTCTAATCACATTTCATGATATAATTTTAAAGTAATCATGTTTTATTTTCATTTAAAAGTTTTTTTAATTGCCTCTTTAACTTAAAAGAGTAGTTCAGTTCTTAAGGAATAAGTTAAAATATTCATTAGTTAATGTCGATGAGAAGTAAATTTAAGAGAGAACTTATTTGAAAAGATAAAACGTTGCCACTGAAAAGCAACTATTATTTAATTATTGAAACACGAAATTATATTAATTTAAAAACTGGCCTGGAATCGAACCTGGACCTCTCGAATACGCGCCGAATGTGCTAATCATTACATCACAAAGGCATGCAGAAAGGAGGGAGAGAATATCTTATATACTACCCCTTTTATAGTAAGACTGGAGATTAGGGGACCCAGTTGCCAAATCCTGGTGATGAAGAATCATCATTCACCACCTTTCTAGTTCGGGCGCCACTGTAGAGTCGTTAGGTCTTTTTTGATGCTTTGATGCGGGAGGCGTGAAAAATGAGCAATGCCCTTGTCGGGACTCGAACCTGGACCTCTTGAATACGCGCCGATTGTGTTAACGAATACACCACAAGGACATGCAGCAGTGGGAAGCTATCTAATTTCTTTTCATTTCTAAAACACAGTTATACTTATTGTAGATTTGTTTATCTTAGATACTTAGTTGACTTTTTACTTTAAACAATTTTTATGATATTTTTCATAATATTACCCCCCCCCCCAAACGAAAAGTGAATTGTATTAAAAGAAAGAATAGAAAGCTTGGCATATTTTGTTTTTGTGTATGCAAATTCAGCAGTATAGGTATCTAAGATTTTTTTCAATAAATCTAAGTAAATTTTACGATAATTTTTAAATAAAAGTTCTCATTTTTCATTTATGCGTAATATGAAAGATACGGGGCATTCAGTTCTTTAAAATTTACATGTTTGTTGTCTATTTTTATTTAAATTAATACTTATGAAAAATGGAAAGATTAATCTATATGCATTTCTAATGTTGGAAACGAATATTTTTTATCGATTTTTTTACTTTAATACATAGCTTTTAGAAACATATTTTTACGATAATCCTATAAATGATTGAAAATTTTATTGATTAGATATGCTTTGAATTACACCAGTTAAAAATACTTTTAATTATATAAACTAAGCATATCGTTAAAAGAATATATACACAAATTATCGAAGAATCTGTATATCGCTTTTTAAATAACTAGGACTATTAAACCATTAATAATGCTAATTGGCAAACTAAATAGATCCTATAAGATTGTGGTTGCATAGAACTTATTATCAGGTGTCTTATACCCTATAGAAAGGCAATACTTCTAAGATCAAGTATGTTTCGAGATATGGTAGATGATAAATTAGAAATAGTATAATGGCAGACTAGATAATTCGACTTAGGTTGAAATGGTGGCGAGGAGGTTACTTACATGAGATGATTTTCAATATTTCTTACATGTAACATAAATATAAACTAGCTCCCCTGAAAAATTCCTATACTGACATATCTCCCTTAGGCTAAGATTATGGGGGAGACCAGCTATGTACTTTGGGAAAACTGGTTATGGCTTTTCATGCTAACTAATCCTAAAAAAAATTGCAAGCTTTATAAGAATAATCCCTTAATAAGTAGCAAGCTTTCCAGAGAATCTAGAGTTTACGGACTATGGAACATCCTGCGATTCCACCGTACAGTCTGGATCCAGTATTTATTTAAAATAGGACATAAAGAAATAATTATAATATAATTTAACAAAATTTGGAATTCATAAATTAAATGAGACATTGATTTCATGTAACAAACAAATAAATAATTAATATATAATCATAGTATATAATATTTATATATATTATTGATTTTTCTAAAGTTGATATTGATATATTATTCCTAAGTTTATTAATATGTTATGGTTTTTTTTTTTGAATTTTTAACTCTAATTTTCCTACGTTACCAAAAGGTATCCTACAATTGACCATAACACCAGAATACTCTTTCCTACCATAACATACCAGTATCAATAACCTGTTCTAATTGCGTTGTGTTTATTTCGGAATAACCCTAAAATCCATTTGAGTAAAGACTGGTAAAAATCATGAGCACACAAAAATAAATTTAACCATTGAATGATCTAGAAAAAAAATTTATTTATTTAACTCTTATTGCAATTAATATATATATATATCTATTTACTTGGAAAATCAAAATATATTCAACACTGCAGTACTATTGTTTTACAAATCAAACTATTACTGAGTAATTATTTCTTAACATTAGTCTTTAGAATTTCTATTATAGTTACTATAGCAATCATGTAAACATACCAAAAATAAACTATAAATTAATGAACAGTACCCTCCCCGGGGAGAAAAAAAAATATAAATTTTAACAAGTAACACCTTCTACTTCACACAGAATAATCAATACAGAAGACATATTATTGCACTCAATACCATCCAACAAAAATAAAATAGTTATTGCACATAATAATTTTCATTTTTTTTTCATTTGCTTTTCATTTGTTTATTAAAGTAGTGTTTAACCGGATAAATGTTAGGTAATTACACTATTACGATCCTACCAAAAGTTTAATCCCTGAGAGTAGCAGATAGGCTCAAACAAAGATATTACAAATCAATCCTCACTAAGCAGGCACTCCAAAGTTGAATTACATAATTACAAGAAGAACTTATTTTTCCTTTACAATTAAGTTAAGTTACAATAATAAAAAAATTAAATCCTTCGTCAATTTAATACTTTACTTAATCGACACACAACAAAAAAATGATTTCAATAGAGTTAGGTTAACTTGGTCTACTACAAAAAAAATTTAATGCTCAACTCATCAATTAATTCAATCATTTAACTGCAGAATTTATTATACTTTATCTAACCGGGAAAGAAAACATAAAAAAAAAAAAAAACAAAAAAAAAAACTTATCTGAGATAAGCAGTTGCTGAGTAGCAGGCAAAATCTAACCATCCGAAACAAAATTGTCCCTGGAAGTTCAGGAGTAAAGCCGGCAGCGAGTAGCAGGAAAAGAGTTCGTCGATTATATGGAGGTTATCACGGGAGCCGTAGGAGGTTTTTCTAAATTGATTCAGGATGAACAAGGAAGATCCCATCTTGGATGAAAATTTTGAAATACAGTCCAGGACTTGGAGACGACAGCTGTCAGCAAGGAGAAAATTTCAGCTCAGGAATCAGTTCGGTGGAATAGGCGAGTCCGACTTCTAAGTTCAAAGAAGAAGCGGGTGTGTTGGATGAAGCCAAAAAAAAAAATGAAGCATTTCTATGGTAGAGAACTAGGTAGAGACATCTTTCTAGACGACGATTTTCAGCATTAAATTTCTTGAGAACTTTAATGTAAACGCATACACCCAAAAATATGATGTAGCTACGAAGACTTAGGTATACAAAGATACCCGTAAACCAGGGCCCGCGCTCAAGGCGCGGAGGCACGAGGCCCGTAACCATTATCGGTGAAGAAAGCATTTTCTCGGCAGAATCTGCTGCCGAAGCGCGCAGCACCCGAAAGGAATTCAAAAGAAAGCAGAAGACGTGTCAAAAAGTGTGTTCGTCCCCCAAAACAACCCGTTAAAAGGGAGGACGCCGGACTGCCAAGTTGGCACAACCCACTCTTTCGCCGAAAGTTAAAATAGTTGCAACAACAACATACCCTCATGTTATCAAACTCAAACTCGCCAAATCCACTACTTTGAAACCTCAACGGAAATTCTATGTCGCCAAACCCTCGCCAAATAAACACCACCTGTGGCAGGGGAAAATTAGGAATTTCAACAACCCTGCAAGGGGTCCCAACGAAAGAACGCTGAAACTCGCAAAAAATGACTTTTCAACCGGAAAGAGGGCATTTCATCCCCCTTTAACTAAATCACAAGCAAACGAATAAAAATTTACTAATTAAAGCTCATAACTGAGATGCAATTAAAGTTAGAAAAACGAAAGTTATGTCAAATTAAAGAGCTAATTTTTCTGCAGCTAATGATATTAAATACTAAGAAATCAAATTAATTTTTGACATGAAAAACTGAGTTTATTACGTGAAAAAAATCACCTATCCATTGTTTGCGTGTACAAGATTGACGACGCAGTTCGCGTAAAATATCAATATACTCAATCTACTCAAATCTCTCGAATGTCTCAGATCTTTCGAACCTTTCGCATCTCTAATTGTTCATGTAAGGACAATAATAAGAATAAAAGATAAAAAATATCTATATAATGTTAAATAATTTTAGAGAAAAATTTGAAACCAGCGTTTAGAAGGAAAACTAAATTATGCTTTAAAATAGTTTTAAACGTAATTTTCAAAATATAACTATATATTAAAAACTGATAATGGAATTAAAGAAAATGGATCTACGTTTATTAAAAAGGTATAAATAAAATTTAATAAATGAGGTGTGTCTTTAAAATATGTGAATTTTGTGGTACACTTTCTCAATATAATTTAACAAAGTATACTCAAGAAAATGCTCAGATATCTTGTTTTCATAGATGTTTTTCTAGAATCTTTTTAAATCGAAGCATATTTGAATAGACTGAATTTGATATTCTTTCTTAGGTTAGGATTCAAAAGACTGGAATAAAGAAAAGCATATAAAAATTAGACGTTTCGACTTGAAGAATTTCCAGAATTCAGATGTCCCATTTTTTTTGTTAGTGGGCATTAAAATTCACCAGTTTGTGCAGATGAATCACATAGTGATTTGGCCTATAAAAATTTCCTTTTCAAGGTCATGAAATATCGTTCTTTCAAAATTTTAGCTAAGTCACTAAATTCGACAATCCATCATGAATGTCTTTCAGAATTCTTTTGTCTAAAAAATTTATTCAAAAATTAAAAATGTATCTGATTAGAGCAACGTGTGCATTTTGCAGCATCATTTTCCTTTTACTTCTCTATCAGATTTGAATAATCTCATTTTACTTCATCATGCTTTTTGAAGCTCTTCATTATCTTCTTTGTTAAAGTTTTATATAAAAGGATCATATAAAGACAAATTTTCATACTGGGATTAATTTTCTGCATCAAACACATGGAGCTCTTACGACGTTCTTTGCTTCTTCTCTTGGCTGTGGCAACAGCTGCGCTTACCATTATCGAGGCTGTGCCTGTGCCTCAGCCAACTCAAGCACCCATACTTGAAGTACCACCAGTAGCTGGGATGTAGAAAACATATTAAAATTAATTCTGATGCTTGTAAGGTAAGTAAGTAAGATTTTTGAGCAGTTAAATGATTTTATTTCATTTCAGATATTTATTCCTTTTCTTACTTTTACTGAAACGAAAATTTAGACAAAGATATATGCTTTTATTTTAATATCATTCTTTTGAACGAGAGAATTTCAAAATAGGTCGAAACGCTGCAATATCTCTAAACGATTGAATCGTACTATATCGTCCCGTTAGATGTATGGCTGTATGAGGTGTTTGCATTTTCCCCTCCCTAAATGCGTAAATCTGAGCAAGCGTAATTTAAAACATCCTTTCCCATGATATTGCGTTTCACAAGCTGGGAATCGGAGTGCTAGATTATATGCATGATAATTTAAGAAAAACGAGACAGTTGTAGTTACAGGTTTGAGGTTTGAAGACGGAATAATTTTATAATTTGAATGAAAAACATATACTTATAAGTTCCATGGCTTGTCTGGACATACAGGTTCAACTATAATTAGGAAAATACAAATCATGATAGAGCTCCTTTTTTCCTTTTTAAGTAAACAGGCAGTGAAATGAAAGTTACTCAATGGATGTATGAGGCTTTAGAATGAACTTGATGTGTACTTATATATAATCGAAAGTAGCCTTTAAAAGTAATCAGCGAATACTGAGTTTTTAATTATGAAAAGAATAAGTTTTGTTTGATAAGTATCTCCTAAATCCTTTCTTACTGTTTTAAATTAAGTCAATCAAGTCAACCAAGTCAAGAAACATAGGCATTAAAGACAAAGAAACATAGATAAATTATCTATGACTTATGAATATTTTTGAAAATTTTTCAAGAAAAAGCTTGCCTATTAAAATATAACTTAACTGTTAACAAATAAGTTTTTGCTCCACGGAGGATAAATGTAATGACAGAATTTATTTTTACACAACACTTCTGTTAGTTTTAAGCAAATTCTATAATGTTTGCTCTTATCTGAATTCAAGTAGTTCTAATCCGGAAATGAATATCTAGAAACAATAGTTAAGGTTACCAGTCTCTTTAAAAAAGGTTCAAACTTAACTTAAAATTGGTTTTTAGTAAATAATGAAGAATCTCTGTGTATGTATATACGAATGTATGTTCCTTGCGTTATGGAAAAAATGGCAGCCTCAAGAGCCACCAAATTTAGAATATACATTGAACATGCACCCGAACATTGCACCTCCAAAGCCAAATTTTGAATTTCGAATTTAATTGTTATTTATTTCGCATTTTGTGTGATTTAATGAAATTTTATTTAACAATTTCAGCGGTTTAAAAGCAATGTGTTGTCACTTTGCAAAGCGAAGCTATTTAGCATTCAAGTCTAATCTAATAAAATAAAACCTATGCGATTAAAAAAAAGGAATTACGACTTAACGAAATAAAATGTTTTTATTTTCCACACATCAGTCTATTGCCATTTTATGGAAGGTATTTCATTTTCCTTTCAAACTGAGTCTTTCTGTCAATGATTAACAAATCAAGAGATTAAAACAATAAACGCAGTTCTCCGTATTTGTTATCATTATTTTACTAGCTGAGTCCTTGAAAATATATTTGTCAGATTAATTAATATCATTATTTTTTATTATTTTCTTATAAATAATAAGAATTTAGGAGTTGTCAGCACAAACTGCTAGCTTTTTAAATTGCGATGCCATCAGACATGAATGTATATGGACAATTGCTTAAGTCAGGTTCCTTCCTCAAGCTATTAAGGATTATTGTTTACTAAATAATGTACTCGTAAGTTTCAAGTTAATATATGTCTCTTCACGAAGGCGCCTCTTTTCTCAGGCAGATAGTTCTCGAGCTCTTTGCTATAAAAAATAAACAAAACCAAAAAAATCCAAACCTATGTGTTTTCTCATGATCTTATTTTCACGCGATCTTATTTATCACACATGGTTAAGAATTAGTGATATCTAAAAAGATATTTTAGTGCATTTTACTAAATTAGTATAACTTAAAATGGTTTCTCATATGTCTTTCACTTTTTACCCAAACTTTAAAATCATTGCCATATCAGTTAAAGTAAATTAATTAATTAGTTTTCACTCACTTTAAAATTAACAAAGACATAACACTAAATTGCTCTTTCATAAATGCTTACAGGAAAGTTTTGCTAGTGAACATTATAGGATCTAATGTATTTATCATGTGTATATTCCTATTCGTATTTAATAACTTCTTAAAATATAGACTTAAAATATAAACTGTCATATACATATTCATATTCGCATTTAATAATTTCTTAAAATATAAACTGTGTAGTATTATCTTTATTAAATCATCGAAGAAATATAAATGCATACATAAATTAATATTCTTAGCTTTATTTGGCTTAGAAAGAGCCGGCTACGATTTTGATAGAATGTTACTTTGCTTTCACAATAAAATGTTCAGCAATGCTATATTTAAATTTGTTCGTACACTTCGAACATTTCCCAAAGTACACCTAACTGTGAAGTCAAAAGTCATCCGTCTTAGCTAGCGAGCAATTTGGCAATTTATTATTATTTTACATGAAAAGTAGTAAAACTGCCAGTTAGATAGAGATTATAATGCTTTTTAAAGCTTTTTATGTTAATTTGTTTAATTTTTTTTCTTTTAGGATTTGGGTGTTCATTTCTTTTACTGCGAAAAACATCTACTGTCTACTTAATCTTGCCTACTCTACTGCCTGCTTATTCTACCGGTTTCTACTTTGTGTAATGTCAGAATATGATTTTCTGCATCAATATAAAATGCTTCAGCTGAAGCCGAAGATTATTGAAAGCTGAGAAAAATCAGTTGTAAAATATTTTCTTTATAACTAAAATATCTCTTTGAATAAAGTCAATTAAAATTTATAGATTTTTTTCAAATTTACAGGAATTTTAAAAATATGTTATAATAAAATATTCTGTGATGTACAAAAAATTTATATTTTGTTTTATTATTCTTGATATAATTGCAATTAAGGATTATTTAACTTAACTGATGTAAACTTCTCTGTGTCAAGCTGAACAAACATTTAATTAAAAAAAAACAAAAAAACTGAGCTCTCTGTAATATTTTGTTAAGGAATATTCTTTGATATCGCCAAGAGATGGCTTTAGGAGTCCATCTATTGGTTTACTTAACCTTTCCCCTTATGAACACGTGACTTGAAAAAAATATTCTTCTTCTTGAAGGTAGGATTTCGATGCACTACGCAATAGAATTCGATTTAGATACTTTGATGGAACTATTCAGTTCTTGCTTTTTGAGCCTTAATATTCGATTCAGGTATTTTAGCCTACATTCTATATATGTAAATATTAAGTTTAACTAAAATTTATGTAAAACCCTCCAGACCATGCATCTCATTTTGGATTATGAGTAATTCGACATTTGATATAGAATTTGATCTAGAACATTTCGTTTCAAATGGTGCATCGGCCACAGGAAAGAATCTGATTAATTTGAAAATTTGTGTTTTTCACCTTTTGGATTAGCTTTGTAAGCGAAGACTAAGTCTCTTTTGATAATTTATTAAAATGGAACAGAAGACATTAAATAAGAATCGAGCACATATACGTGCTTCTGTAACTCAAATTATTAAAAATGTTGATGAGTATTTAAAAGAAGAAAAACAAGAAGAGTTAGAAAATTGTTTGGAATTGTTAAATCGTAAAGAAACGGAAAACTAATGATTTAAATGAAAAATACAAAATTTGATGAAGATGAATCAAAATTAGATTCAGATATTAACACTTTATGGAATATAACGATAAAATAATAATAGCGAAGTCTGAAAATCAATCGTTATTTAAGGAAATACAATACTCAAAATATCAACACGAATTTAAATAATTCATCTACAGAAGTTGAAACCAAAAGACAGATTGAAGGTAATGTTGAAATTGCCCAAACTGTTAATTCACAAATTTTCCGGAGACCTATAACGATTGGATGAAAGTTTTGGAATATTCATCAAGGTCACTCACTATTCATGACAATGTTACACTTTCGAAGATCGAAAAATTAAATTATTTGAGAACTTATTTATATGGAAACGCAGCATCAGCCATAGAAGGTCTCTTAATCTCAGAGGCTAATTATGACTCTGCTATAGACATTCTTAAAAATTGATTCGGTCAAAGTGACCTTATTATCAATACACACATTTCTAATCTCTTAAATTTAAATCCCGTTCAAAGTTCAAGTGAAGTGGCAAAATTGCGAAAACTTTATACAATTAACGTTCAAGTCAGAAGCCTTTTAGCATTTGGTGTGAAACCAGAAACATATTCCAACATGTTTATTCCAATTTTGATGAAAATTGTCCCGAACGATATAACTTTAGAATTTCGTCGTACAAATACTGAAAATCCTTCAACCTATGATTTAAACACATTTCTAGACTTTCTCCGATTAGAAATAAAATCGCGAGAAAAGATTAATTCGTTATCCTTTCCACGCAAGTAAAAACCGGAAATGAAAGGTATTAACAGATATCCACCGACGCCAAAACATAAACAAACTGTCACCACACATGTATTTAGGGCAGCCGCGTCGTCAAATCGAAACTGCATTTTTTGTTTTCAAAACCATGACTCAGAGTCGTGCTTATGCTTTACAGTTAATGAGAAGAGAGATATTTTGAAGAACCAAGCGCGTTGTTTTCTTTGCCTGGCCCCAGCCAAAATCTCCACATGCCGGCAACGCCAAACTAAAATTTGCAAAATTTGAAAGGTAAACATCAGAAGCCATATGTTTTAAATCCAGTTCGATAGTTAAAAATAAACCAAGTGATAAAAAGGATAGTATATCAATTTCGAAAAATGATACACAAACTAAGGAACAGAAAGAAGAAATTGTTTCGGTCGTTTCACACCTCGCGAGTTAGCGGACAGATTAAACCTCGAAGTCATAAGAAAAGAAAAATTGACTGTCTACACTTCTGGGAATACATCACCCATCCAAAAAAATTATGACGTAGTTAAATTAACTTTAGAACAAAGACGTTATCCCGATTCTAGAATAGAAGTTGAATTATTAGTACTGACAGATATCAGGTACAGATATTCCTCCTCTAAATCAGAAGAAATTAAGCAAAACAGACAATTAAAAAATTTGAATGCTCGCAGATTTCCCCGATTGTAAGAAACCCATTACCATTCTAATTGGTGCAGATTATTATTACAACATAGTATGGGACACGTTAAATACTTAAGCAAAATCTTGTTGCAGTGGAAACTTTTCGGCTGTTTTCCTACATGGACCCGAAAGGTGATGATGATGTCTTTTTAGCTTTAATGTATTTGTAGGGGAAGATTGATTTCCAACAAATAACAAAATTTTGGGACTTGGAAAACTCAAGACTTATTGATAGAGGGAAAACTTCGATTCAACTGAAAATGAAGTCATCGAATATTTCGAATCAAATATAACATAGAAAATTCTTCTCGCTATAAAGTTAGATTACTTGGAAACATGACACATCAATCTAAACAATAATAGGAAATCGCAGAACAAAGAATTTTCGACTTAGAAGAACGATTTAAAAAAATCCTAATCTATTTTCCGATACAGGAACGTATTAAGAGATCAGTTAACAACAAAATAATTATCGAACCAGTTCAGAAATTTCAAATGAAGAGATGTCGTGTTTTACTTAACACATAGGGAAGTTATACGCGAGGATCGAGCTACAAGTAAATTACGTATTGTTTATGATGCATCATCGCATGCCCCAGGATCCATTTCTTTAAATGACTGTCTACATGTTGGGCCAAATTTATACCCTGAAATATTCGAAATATTGTTAAGATTTCGGTATAATCCAATAGCTTTCACCGCAGATATAAAACAGGCCTTTTTACAGATTCTCATACATGAAAAGGATCGGGACGCAACCAGGTTTCTGTTTTCCGAATTCCCTAATGATGAAACCATTTCTCCTGATACATATAGGTTCACTAGAGTTTTATTCGGAATAAATAGTAGTCCTTCTATTAGCCGCTACCATTAAACATCATCTGAAAAAATATAATAAACTTTATCCTACAACGGTTAACTTTTTGAATGAGAACGTATATGTAGATGATGTGATTGGAAAGCCAACCAACGATCAATGAAGCATTAACTACTAGATCTAGAATCGGTCCAAATATTTAAGAAGCAAGCATGCCAGCTTCCACAAATGGCATAGTAACTCGAGACAATTACATGAATGTGTTGAAAACAGGTATCGTTTCCAGATGAAAATCCTGAAGATTTTAATAGAGAAAAATTCCCATTGAAGTCTTAGGTATGGCATGGGATAATAAGGACTTACGTATTTGATGTTCGGAACTTATTGTCTTTCACATCTAACCAATAGAAACAAAACGCGATTTCTTCTACAAGTGTTGGGTCGGATATTTCGATCCGATTGAATTTTAGGACCTTTCACTGTTAGAATAAAGTGTTTAATACAGAAAGATTTGGTTGTCACAAATAGATTGGGATGAACATTGCCTGAAGATTTGTCTTCTGAATGGAGAAAGTGGTGTGAAGAGCTACCTCAAATGTCTGGAGAAAGTGGTGTGAAGAGCTACCTCAAATGGCTGAATTTCTCCATCTCTCCTTACTTTTTCACGTCCCTCGAACTTTAATGTCGAAAAATCTCGAATTTACATTGCTTTTCAGATGCAAGTGTCAAAGCCTATGGTACAGTCGCATATTTACGTTTCACGACAGAAAATAAAGAATTCAAAACGGCCTTTGTCTCTTCTAAAAATAGAGTAGACCCACTAAAATCCCTTACTTTACCGAGGTTACAATTAATGGAGGCATTGTTATCAGCTAAGTTAGTCAGCAATATTCTGAAAGCACTGAAATTGAAAATTCCGCGCTATTTTTGGACAGACTCAACAGTTACCTATTTTTGGATCCAAAAACAACCTGAAGCCTTCAAATCCTTTGTCAAAAATTGTGTCGAAGAAATACAAAAATTGAGTTCACCTCAAGATTGGCATTATTGCCCATGTATCCACAACCCCGCAGATCTCGCATCTCGAGGAACGAAGATTTCCAAGTTAATAAACGAGATCGTTTGGACGCAAGGTCCCCAGTGGCTTCAATTCCCTCACGAACTTTGGCCAAGATTAGATATTATAGAAACAATAGATGAAAACAAGCTGGAATACCATACATCAACTTGAATGTACAAATCGAAAAAAGTACAGATGATCTTTTTGACGTATCAAAATATAGCAAATTAGAGAAGGTGTTGAGAGTCACTGCTTGAACAACATGTTTCATTAAAAAATTAAGAAAAACTAGCGACATTCGAGGAACTCTCACAGCTGAAGAGTTACAAGAAGCAGAAAATTTCTGGATAAGATCAGAGCAAAAGAAGTTTTTCGCCGAAGAGTATAAATCCCTCAAAGAAGGTAATTCGGTAGGAAAAAATTCTCCTTTGTACAATTTTCTTCCTTACATTGATGAAAAGGAAATCATGAGGTTGAGAGGAAGATTAGAATTTTCTGACTTCTCACTAGATAATAAACATCCAATAATCTTACCTAAAAATTCTCGACTAACGATTCTAATTGTATGCAAAGAACATGAGAAGATAATGCATGGAGGATTTGCTGAAACTTTAGCTAAAGTCAGATCACGCTTCTGGATTCCTAAAGAACGACAGTTAGTCAAAAAAGCATTAAAAGGTTGTATGATTTGCCAAAAATATTTAGCTAAACCAGCAGACCAGATGACAGCACGCTTACCAAAGGATAGAATCCAAGAATCGCCTCCATTTGCAGTTTCTGGAATTGATTTCGCCGGACCAGTTTACGTAAAGAATTCTAAAGACACTCGAAAATCCTATATTGTTTTGTTGTTTGTTCAGTAACTCGAGCTGTATCAGATATGTCAACAGAATCCTTTTTACTTGCATTTCGTAGATTTTTGAGCAGAAGAGGAAACTGCGTAATCATCTACTCTGGCAACGCCAAGACCTTTAAGAGGACAAAGAAAGAACTTGAGAATTTTTCAAAAGTTTTAAAAGATGACACATTCAAGAATTT